AAAATTAGTGCCGATCATGGGTTTGTTTAACTGCGGAGGAAGATTTTATCATGTGACTAACTTATCTGATTCATCAGCCGTAATAGTAACTAACACTTTTTTCCACATCACAAGCTGGTGCATGTCTCAGCGGTTCTCAAGTGACGATACAAATGCAACCTGATACATAGACTATAATAGTCTCAGGTGTGACGTGAATTTCATTTTTACGACACACTCAAGTGACATGTATTTTGCTTTTTACAACACATACTTGAGACTATTATAGTCTAATCTAAGTCGTTTTTTGTTTATATAAACAAAAAACGACTCCAGGGGATACCTGTGGATGCAAAACTTGTCTTAAATTCAAAACTGTTGTTGAGAATGTCTTATTTGAATATACTGGAGGGAACTCATAAAGAAGCCTTCATTGCTGTCCATTGATTATGAAATTGGAAAAGAATTGGCAAAGTACATAAAGTAAAAGGAGGATCTTGATCAACTTCACCAAGTAATGTGCACCTGGAAGAAGATGAAGTTTATGATCCAAAGGAGCATTACTTTAAAGAATGAATCCAAATTACATTGAGACATCTGTGCAACCTTTATGAAAATCTATCTGCTCTGCTCCTATGTGCTGGGAACAGTATGAGGACTGATATGTGTAACATATATACTGACAGTTTGGCAGATAATAGCTCCATTATAACAACTTGTTTAAATTTATGAGTATTTTATTCAAAAACTACAGTCAATTAGCTTCATGACAATATAATTTTTTTGTTGTTTGCTTAGTAAATAATGCCAATGTAAATGCTGATGTTCGAAATCTTAGATTTTTCATGTTTTACAAAAATTCTGGAGACTTTTGTCAGGGGAGTGTACACATATGTCTCCACCTCTGACTCTTACTGTCATGTTAAAACTAGCTTTAGCAAGCCTGTCAACAGGATATCGTAGCTTGGAAATAAAGTTGCATTAATATCGTACACATATGTCTCCTCTCTCAAACAATTCTGTTTTACTGCTTGTCTTCTCATTTCTGCTGCTCTCTAGACCATTTGGACAGACTATACTTCTTATGCATTCTCACATTCTCCTCTTTCCTCCTCAGATCAATATCTCAATTCTTTATTATCATTCCTTATAACATATAGACACTTACATCCTCCCACTCCACATTTGCCTTCTCCCTCTCAAATAGCTACCATTATCTTATACTCTCATTAGAATTCTTCCATGTATGGCCTTCCTGTTGGCCACTTCTTTGTTTCACCTCTGACTCATACTGTCATGTTAAAACTAGCTTTAGTGAGCCTGTCAACAGGATATTGTAGCTTGGAAATAAAGTTGCATTAATATCATACACATATGTCTGTTCCTGCAGACTCCTCTTTTTGATCAAACTTTCCTTCTCTCTCTTCTTCCCTTCCTTACATTGTTGGAGGTGACTTCAACACTACTGTTCATCTTTGTGATCATATCTCATCATCTGAACACATTTCTCCCCCTAATCTCAATCTCCTACATATACATCACATTTTCCTAATTTAATAGATTTTGCTGGTTCCCTTCCAGGCCACATTCTTTCACACAAGGCTAACCACTTTACAAAATCTCATATTGACTTCATTCTTTTACCCTCTTCTCTACTTTCTTCTTCATATTAATATACCTTCTCTGTTGGATCCCTCTCTGACCATTTACATTATTAACAACAAAACATTGAGTTTGTATGCAGAGACTTTGAATATACTTAATAAGCACCCACTTGACCAAACCTTAAAAACATAGTTTGGCTGTATTTGCTTGACTTGACATTTTTATAGTTGATATTACTATTATTTAATCAAGAAAATTGATTGTTGTTCAAGTTGCTTCAAGATAGGCACTGCTATAATTGTAAACTCTATTAAGACTTTTGGAATAAGGCTCTTGGTTGTGATCTCTTGAAGTGAATGGGGTATGCAGCAGAAATCATGATTATGATGCTCTAGCAGAGCTCTTCGTGGTCCTTTCTTTCCACAACTGTTGGCACTAGATGATAATTGTTCCATAAACCTTACATGTAGCCTAATACTAATAGATAGCAAAAACCGAAATATAACACAATAGCAGATAGTGCATTATTGCATCAACATGAATCTGGTTGCTTTACAAGGTAAAACGCTATTATCAATTATATCTTCGAGACCATAATAAAGTAATAAAATTATGCTTATGAAACTCAAATAATTCTTACATTATTTTGAAGTTTGTCAAAAAAGAAAAATGTAAATTGCTTGCTCACAGACTATAATCTTAGTATTAACTATGTTCAAATATTGTGCTAAACTATCTAAAAAATATTGTATCGATAATCGAACTATTATTTCCTGTCTGGCAGCGGACGCTTAACGACGCTAGATATTAATTTAACTTCTGTACGCTGGCTTAATTCAGCCTCCTAAGCAATAGACACAAACCCGCTGTGGCTGTGCCAGCCAATAGTCAAAGAGTGTTACGTTATATTTAACATAAGATAATTGCATTGAATAAATATATTATTAACTCAACGCCTTTTAACATTACAACATGGAAACACAACACGACTGACAGTCGCAAACGCCAATAATAGCAGAGAAAAATGGCAGCTCTATTGGATATAAGAAGCGCGACTTTCCACTAGAATTTATCATGTTCAATTAATATTCCTTTTTTAATAAAACGAGTAGTACTTTGTGCTCTGAAATACATTATTGATTATTCGTTCCCTCAAATTATTCGGTAGAGCGCCTCTATCGATTAAGGGTATTTAACTCTTGTCCCTCGAATATCTGGCAATTACGATCACTATTCGTCTAAGTATAATGCATTTTAGATAGATACAAACAAGTCCAATCTACGGACTTTCGAATTAATCTCACGGAAGAAGGCGACATAGTAGTGTCTCAGGTCTGTACGGACCGTGAGTTGTAAGGCCTGTTTGAAAGGTCACTAACTGTTGAATTGTATTCAGCTAGTGGGAGAAGCAACAGCTCCGATCGAAAGAAGCTAAATTCCAAGCTCAATAGTCATTCGCTTTCCCGTGACTGTTGGCTCGAAAATGAAATTAGCTAGCGTTTATATAAGAGATACGGCGCGACCTTTTGACACATTAACTGATACAGTAATTCGGATGCTGCATATTTTTTCATAACACAATACGATGTAAATGATTTGGGGCGTTCAGCAGTTTTAAACCTTGATTTTGTTGGAGCGTGCCAATATATAACATGCCAGCAAAAAAGCCTTGAAGTCTAAGCCCGCACAGAAAACCATTGAACTATTGGGGGAAAAAATCATTATGAGCATCCCGGTGCCTCAACTATTATAAATTTTATTTTAAAAAGTGAGTAAATTTGAGCCAATACCAACTGGTTGTTTTCTTTTTCACAAAAAGTGGGTCTTCTTTTTAAAAAAAAAACAAACCACAGTCAAAATGGATTAATTGAAACGTGTTTGAAACGTGTAACAAACTCCTCATCTATAAATTCACATTGGCACAATTACTGTATATAAAAGTCAAAATTCCAAGATGTACACGTATCTTATCAATGCGACCGCTACAGAATGTGAAAACAGGTTTAGAATATCTACTGGTATATAAAATAACCATCCGCGTAAGTTCTTTCGTATTCTGATGTTAGTATTAATAATATGAGTGTTGGCAAAGTATCATTTCAATACGTGTCAAAAACACATTATTGGCACGATAGAACTTGCATAGTAAAAAGAGTGTCATTATTCTCGACAGAATATGGTTATAAATTAATGTTTGAACCAGATGTATTGGCTTAATATAAAGGCAGTATATCACTTCAGACAGTTGTTACTCTGTAATAAATTTAATAGGTGACAGTGTTAAACTTGTCCATAAAGACATTCTATCTCATAATATTTCAGCCAAAGCTAGGTTGTCTTGTCTTTAGCAACTTTCTTCTTCCTAGTTATAATAATTTCTTGAGAAACAAAGCTACCATTTCTTATATTCAGTCTCTTACTATCTGTTTAATCTCAAGTAACTATTTCTCAAAGTTTGATCTGATGGCATACTGAAAGAATCAAGTAAAAAAACAAAGCGTATCAATAACTGGTATGTGGATCCTATGTGAATTACTAAATTACTAATAGAAAAAGAATCTTCACAGTACTATGCACTATAGTAATAGGAGGGAAATAGAAAGGTAGTGTCAAAAATTCATGAATGAACCAAATAATGAATAATAATATTAGATTTGGCTAACTTCCAACACATGATAGAGGGAACAGTAATAAACAGATTGCATTATTATTGAAAGCACCAGAGATAATTGATATGCTCAATGAAAGAATAGAAAGCTGCTTCTATTCGCTACATCTACGTTAGCTTTGACGACACGAAGATTAAAATCCAATGTAAGTGCTCATTGCCTTACCATTAGCAACCATTATACTCGATACAATCTAACACCGCATATAGCAAGCAGGCTTCTTCATTTGTGATGTCCGTACCAAGGACAATATATCGGACGACAGCCTTCCGAGATTCCTTATAATAAATAGTCATGTTGTATACAACTTGTGCTTGTTCACTCTATGTTATAATAGTGACCGACTCTCTTTGCTCAGAAATGTCTGCTAATCTCAAAAAAAGAAAATGTTTATTATCATGTAAGTTGTTCCTTCGATGGATCGATTCCACCAATGTCTGCTTCTTCACTGTCGACAGTTACATTATTATCAATGAACTCCTTTATACGTCTCAAAAGATCCACTTTTATGCTTTCAGGTACAGATTCTACGGAGAATAGACACGTGCATATAAGCAAATATTACAGAAGCTTTGACAGATTGCGAGATCCGTCATAGTAACTATACACTCACTTCGACCATATTGTAGCCAGTCATTCTCAAGTTGATCAACTGTTGCATTATGTATTCCTTTAGCCTTTATGGATTCTTTGATTCGTTTCTTTAAGTCTCTCTTCCATCCGCATTCAGTCAACTTCGTAGTCAAAATGCTTTTCAGTCTAAGTGTTAAATAAAGCCGTATATAATATATTGTTTATTGTCCATATCAATAGGTAGTCACCAAAAAGTTGGTTTCATTATATTTGACTAGGTGAGTTTTCCGGTTTCTCAATATCGCATTCAATGTTACCTCTTCTTTGTGTGTGTGGCCACCAATATCTTATTCACAGTCTTTCTGAGAACCTCATTCTCCTCTGAAATACAAAAATAACAGTAAACAAATAAAGTGAAAACTATATGGCCGAGACTAAAATAGTTAACTAAGCAAGGGAGACTAAAGATGACATAGGTTAGATATCAAAACAAACATACTATGATTCAGCAAAGCCCTTTTCTCTTTGGACGCTGCATTGTCATATTCATTCGAGAACTTGAGTTTCTTGAAACCATTCTTTGAGCCCAACATATCATACCACTGCACAAAGCTCAAACCGATATACGGGAGTACACATGGAATGATGTTCAAATACCTGTTGCATTAACTTTTGATTGAGTATGTTTTTGCTTCAAACGAGTATCGCTTATTCCTTGTGAGGACTGTGTCTGCAAACTCACACTTAATTCTCTGGGGTTGCTTTTATTGCTAATGTTATTCATAGACGTTGAATAGGGGGATTTCATTGGTATATTATTAGTTTCCGATTCAAATAAGGTTTCGTTATATATCGAGTTCCATTGTGATAATTTATGCGATGCTTCATTTATAGATGTTGTGTAACGGATATCATCGTGGGAAACTGTTGTTAAAGCTAGAACATCTCCAGGCCAGATTCATCAACTAGGCCACATGGCAACTGTAAGTAAATTTCCATTTTTGTGCATTCGATAATTAATATACCCAAGTTTCTAAAATTGTTTTATAGTTAGGCATATCTTTTCTTTAGGCATATTCTAAATTCTTTCGAAATCCCGACATGATTCTGTGTTTATAAGTATTTATTTTATATGTAAGTGGGATGCAATGGTATGGACGTTTATTATGTATAAGAATGGAATGTCGAAAGAAGTTAACTCGTTTATCTACTACACCGACGGTAACGGTGACATTATGAGGGAATCGTCCAGCAACCCACATGCGTGGTTGGCGTTTGACCAGGTCAAACGCAGAACGATGAATAATAGTAAAAAGACGTACTAAACAATATCGTTGATGAAAATGAATAATCACATAGCAAAGGAAATAAAATAATAGTCCATTTAGTTCTATAAACACATCATTGTTGGTTACAAGAAATATTGGGTTGATCGTCGTCATCTTCCATTTCTTCTTCCTCATCCCATACGTTTCCTCTTGCTCCTTTTTTGGCACCGTACTAGTTAAATATAAAAGAGTCAACAGAGCTACGATTGCAGCATATCCTAACGAAGCAACTTGAATTGGAATTACCTCGCCGAAATCGCCGTCAATTAATTCGACATCATCAACAACCTCCGGACGACTAGATATATCTTCTGGTGTTCGTGGTGGCAACACAGACTCAAGTATCTATGAATCAAAATAAATTCAGCTCAATCAACAGTAGACTGACTTAAATCGATACACGCACTCGAAACATACCTGAAGTTTGTCTGGGCTCGTCCACATGGATGTTGGAAATTCTACATTAAACTTGACGTAAAGATTCCCTCGTTCGTCTGACCTTTTATAATGGGGCATGCCCTCGTTTGCTATACGTTTGACTATGCCTGGAGTGATTACTTCCCCAGACGGTTGACTTATAACTAGTCCACGTCCGTCGAGATGCGTGATGAGAACCTTAGAAAAGCCACATAGCGCCTCAGCGAGTGTGATTGTGACAGTGATCAGCAAATCATCGCCTTCTCTCTTAAATCTATCGTGTTCCTTTTGTTTGAGCACAAAGATAACATCTCCTGTCTCTACTCCAGGCTACATTAAAATTTGTATTCAATTAGATCACAGATCATCGCCAAGATATTAAAAAAATCGCGACTTCACATACCTCTTGGTCAGCTTCACCTTGCATAACGATCTTTTGGCCATCTTGCATACCTTTATCTATATAGATATCTAGGTATTTCTTTTCTTTGACCACTTTCGTACCTTTACATTTTTTGCACTTATCTCGTTCCCTCAGAGCTTCGCCTTCTCCATTACCTTTTTTGGGGTAGAAGGTGAACTGATTTTCAAGTCGAATAGACGCGTAAAAAACATAAAACAAGTTGGTTATATCTTACAATTAGGACAGACAATTTGTGTCCGTTGCATTATTCCAGGGCCAACACGTCGCATGATAATCTTGAACCCACGACCATCACACTCGGTGCACTTTCTCATTGCTCCAACTTTGCCTCCTTTGCTGTAGATGGGTGGAATGAATATCAGTAGAGGCCAACAAGCAGTCGCGCGATAAGATCCGTAATACAAACTATCTACCCATGACATCCCGGACAAACGATATCTTTTTGTAAAAGAAATTTCGTCGTTTTCCCGTTGTACAAGTCTTCCAATGTAACATCGAACGTCTTTATGATATCTTCTCCTCGTCGCTGCCTCGATCGGCCGCCTGTGATTAAGAGAGATAACCTCAAGTCTCAGACCGAGTGCAATCCAAAATCACTCGCAAAACTCAACAGAATCCGTATTATACTACCAAATGGTCCAAAGCCATGTCCTCCCAAATTATTGAAAAGATTGGCAAATATTTCTTCTGCCGACATTCCACCAGAGCTACTTCCATTCAAGCCATCTTCACCATAATTGTCGTATATATGCCTTTCATTGAAAATAGATTAATCCCATACGCAATTTCGAAGAAATCAAAACCTTTTAGATGCAGTAACTGGTATAAACAAATAATTCCCAATTGAATGCAATCTTACCGTTTCTCAGGATCGGTTAAAATATCATAAGCGTGACTTATTTCTTTGAATTTCTCACTAGCTGTTTTATCGGGATTTTTATCAGGGTGATATTTCATGGCCTAAGATTAAATTATAGTGATCAATGTCAGATTATGCTCTTCTTTTCTTTTTCTTTTTCTTTTTTACTTTTTACTGAACGGCCTCCGCTGAATTCTGGTGCCTTTAATTAGAGTAGGTGCCCAACGTCTTTGTAATCGTAGTCTCCTCATAACCAAATCGACTGCATTTGACGCAGGAATCTGAAATGTACGATTGGGAAACCCTTACAAAGCACCAACCGCTGATAAACCCTGTGAAAATCTCTGTAACAAAACTCACTACAGCGATCACGTCTACATCGAGGCGTTATGGAGGCCACAAAGCTGTCTTGAAGCGTTACTTAGTGCCTATATCTTTATAATAACTTACTAACTTCCGGTAGGACTAAACGTGTATAAAAAGTGCCAGAATTGCTCGTCAGAAAGCTATTCTGAATAAGCTTGAAAATGCAGATATAAAAATACGTTACCTTCTTGATCTCCGACTCGGTAGCTGACGAGTGCACGCCTAGGACTTCATAATAGCTCATGCCTTTCATTGTAGCAGACATTGGGAGAGGAGAATGAAGGATAAATTCTGGACTCGCTTTATTTTAAAAAAATTCTATCACATGATTTCAGGATCAGCCAATCACGAATAATAAATAGCCAGACAATACAAAATTAAGTTCAAGCGCGAGGCCAACAACTTTATTTGATTCATGTGAAATTAGACAAGGTCCAATGATCGAATAAAGTTCTTTAATGACTCGCGTGTAACTATTATAAAGAAATTAAGCACAAAAGCGATAGCAGATGCAAAGATCCAATAGTACACAATGATTAATTATCCAATGAATAAATTGTTAAGACATATGCTTTCTAAGATTAGCTGAACTGTTTCACCAACGCGTCATTAGCGTTACGAATCAGTTTTCGTTCCTGACAATGATCAAGTATATTGAACAAGCGAGTATTAATGTATGCTAAATGAAAAACCAAGTTTGAACTATTGGATCATCCGACATTCCAATAGAAGCTGCTACATTCAATTGCTCACAATTATATTATACGCCGACTGGCGGGCTGGATTCCCTTCCGCGGTACCTTACCTTACCTTACCTTTTGCTGCAGTATCTTTGATTTCTACAGAACCGATATTTCATATTTATTACTAGCAGTTGTAGCATACCAAGAATCTATTGGTTCATAACTTACTAAATTATTCACTACATTTATTGATTTTTTTTCTAGTAAAATTGTTCGATACTAATTAATCCGATTATATTTGGTACGTATTTAAGACGTACGTTAACTTAACAGAATTTTTTTAGGTTGTAAAGTAAACAGAATATCTTAATAATAAAATAATAATAAAATAATAATCTATAAATAAGGTCTATGTACACTTGCATATTTCTTCCAGCAAACATCATGCGAGGAAGACTCCGGCCCCAATAAGAAGTCTAATTATCTATAGAATAAATTGTCTCTGAAGATGTACACATGCTTACGGCCATCGTTAATCGTTACGCTTATTTTTGTTGTGTTCTCATGTAAAATAGTAAATATGCCATACGGTCTGGTGGCTTGCTGGGGCTTTCCGTGACTACCACGTCTTCTGTTGTAGCAGGTTTTATTACTGTGTCATCAATACGCAGCCATTGGTCGTTCTGTCGAAGCACATCACATGTATAATGACCTCCTGTTGCACTGCTTCCGTGGTGATATACGACTGATTGCAGGCAAATGTTGAGTGAATTAGTGCAAAAGAACTAAATAGATAGTAATCAGTTATTATTAGCATACCTCCGAAAAGTTTATATTCGATAGGTTTAGAGGTCCGCTGAGATGAAGATATAAGTTCTATGGAAATATACACGTTGTTATGGTTTGCGGTCATTCTCATACAAAGGTAGTTTGAACAAAAGACGACCATTGCAATAATTAACTGCATTACCTGGATGTATTATTAATTTATCCGAGTACTGGACGACTTTCTGAAGTTTTTGAGTCCCACCCGTCTTATCATACACGAAACGTTTCAGATGAAGAATTAAAACTGGTGGTAATATCTCTATTAACCAACGTTTTGACGCGCGGACCTTCATTGATCGACCAATTGTAAATAACTAAGTATCACATGCGTGTGATAAATTGCATTACTAACGACTTAAGTATAATTTTACTTACAAGCCCTTTCTGTGGAGAAACATAATCGTCGATATATTCTGGTTCTGTTAGATTCCTCAAAGCGTCCTCAACAGTTTTAACAGCATCCGGCTAACATATAAGAACCTGTTTAGCTAATATTGTTAATTTGACCATACGAGAAAATAACGTATAACGTACCTGAATATCCAATTGCAATGATTGAAATGGTTGTAACGTCACCGAATCTTTCGAACCTGGACATTTCAACACAGATCGCATCTTGCCCCCAAATATCCGACTTACAGGTGACTCCTTTGCGTCAGTCTATCAACAGAGATCGGAATGTAAGATAAGACATGTTACTCTAGCACAACCACAATTGTCAATATGGATAGTCCTTTACCGCACGAGTGAGGTTAGTTCTATTCTTCGGACCGACCTCGAGCCATCCATTATTTCCATCTACAGCCTTCTCTTTTACATCGCCCTCATTATTACTAAGAGCTACAAAGGAAAACAACATGTGTACATATATAAATAAATTCAGACAATAAAAACAATCTAGTGCGTATTTACCAGCCGCAAGTTCTTCGTGCATTCCATCCAACAGAAAACCGAGGAATTCCTCTGCATCTTCTTGCCGACCCTGTTTCAACGTATCTGTTATAAGTGGGAAGTCATTATGGGACCAATACAACATTCAGTTGTACGTACTTTCATAGAATCAAAACGATTCAAAGACCTCACTGCATCGTAAACATACTCAGGGACAAATGGGTTTCCGTACTCTAATAATAACAATTATTATTGACCGATAGTTATGACAAGCCATTCTAAGAAATTAGAAACTTTTCTTTTTTAGAATACCTTGTCCAGTGTTTCCATTAACATTAGACTGTTCGTACTCTTTTAAGAACATAACCCTAGACCACAAGATCACGTTAAAAGTCACGACGTCAAAAATACACTGCTAGCAACGACATTATCGTCAAAACTTACATCGAATCGACCAAAGGCGTCTTACTCTTAAAACTATGTGCAACTTCTTTGCTAATTTTTGACAGCAAGTTATAAAGAGGTGGACAATGGGCCAGCGGCTGCAATATCTGGAATATTCAATGCAAGCAAAATGAGGAAAGCAATGTAGTGAAATGCCGAATGTCATAAACGAAACACCTTACCGCATTCATAAAACACATATTTCCGTTGTTCACAAGACCCCTCGGTGTTATCAAATCAGCACGCATTGAGGCCTCGAAACCCGTAACCACATCTATAGACATAATAATTTGAATTCAACTTATCCGTGAATGAGAAAGGCAGCATTCATGTTTTCACAATCTGGTAAAATTTCGAACCTTTTAAACCGTTAGCTTTGGGCTTAATAGGAGGCGCAGGAGTATATTTCAGTTGCTTATTCTGTAATGGAAGTTTTTGTGGCTGTGTTGCTCCCGTGACAGCTTGCGATGTCACCCCATCCGGCTTCGCAAACAATCCGGCCCAACTTCGCTGAGGCTTGCTTAGATTAGCCTCAGCTTTTTGGGGGGTTGGAAGTTCCTCGGCATTTTGCTCAGCCTCGTTCTCAACGGTTGGCGAAGTGACCTGTCCATTAACTCCGTGATGTACTTTCGACTCGACCCCATTTGTCATCACTTGATCAGAGGGATGTACAGCGATTTGGGTTAATGAGGTCTGAGGAGCGCTGGTTTCTCCCTCCAATACGTTTTCTAACACGTGCTGTGCACAATCATCAGAAGTATCGACTGCCAACTTTGCTCCTAAGTTTTTTACGCATGATTAATATTCGATTAATTGCAAGTTGGAAAAAAAAGGAATAAAAGGTAAATATACAGACACCGCAAAACTTGGAATTACGTAAGTTACATACCCTTCTTGGTCAATCTGAAATTTACCTAAGAATGTCAGTGATAATTCAAATTAGTATGCAAGATCAAACAAACACCTTAACATTATGATCAGTGAAAAGTGACTGTTACGCTGTCGTCAGAAATTGCATACCGAGATATCGTTCAGATTCGATACACCTGACGAGATCGTCTCCAACTCTTCTCGCGAGAAGTTGCCAAATAAAAACTGAAAGGTCTTAATTGATTACCGAGTGTTAATCGTGCGGATCTTAAGCTAGTACGCGAAAGCTAAGCTCCACTCGTTGACTTACAACGAAGAGCAACGAATCGAAGAAACTCTCATCACCTTTTCTTTTTGAATTAGGTTGTCAGGCATTTCGTTGATTGAGAAGAATTACGTTGAATCCAGTGCTCGACGATGTTGTGACAAAGAGTGATATCGCTGTAATAGCTTCATAGTCAAAAAAAAAAAGTAGAAAATATAGAAGGGGTGGAACTGGTAAACTTTTTGTTCTCGAAGAAACGCAATGAGTTACGGCAGGTTTTAAGTACCAGAGCGGCCGTCGGACACGAGGTGGTTGGATTTTGAAAGAATGGAAATACTGTGCAAACGAGCTTCAAGTGTGGAATTCTGTGATATTTTTTCTGATCAAAATGTCACACTGGAAAAAGAAAGTTTCACAAATCTATAACGTCGCACGTGATTAACACCCCTCAATATGTGAAAAATGGTTACGCCATTGAGTGCTCAATGTTTATTATATAAGCAAAAAATACATTTAAGCATGGGTTGAAGGACGCTTTGCTAAGAAGGTAGATCTGCTACCACGAATGACACGGTGAGGTAGAGGAAATTTGAGATTGGGATCTAAAAGTTGTTTAATGTATGGGCGTCTCACCTAGAAATAGAGGGCAATTAGTGATTAGAGGTTAGCGATCGGGATAATAGCTAGGCATAATGTTTAGAAATCAGTAACTAGGATTGGTTGATTGCGTAATTATCTCAACAAATACAATAAAAGTATGATCGAGCGACACGATCTTATTAATAAGCACAATTCAATCACAAATACGGTTCGATTGCATAAAATTCTCCTTACATTTGCTGCTGTTACTGTTGCAACGCGAATGATTTGAATTGATGAGAAACGAGCCCTATGACGTGCAGCCATATCTTGATCTAATTCAAGAAGAGATCAATGTCAACAATAAAGACAAAATTTGTTTAAAACCCAAACGTTCGGGATACGTACATGCAGCCTCAACGGCATCGGTCCTATTTGAGTTCCAGAATAAAGACAAGGATTATTAAACTCAGATAGAAAAATGTAAAACAAGTATTACTCCCACCCACCATACCTCGATAATTCCCTGTATTCCTTGTACATATTGTGTGTGCCAGACCGAGAATCATATCGCAACCAGATCCCGAAATTTTTAATTTGTAATGGTCTCTTTTCAAAGATCTAATCAACCCATATTGCATGGTTAATTTACTTTATAATGTTATACAAAAGATATACTATTCTCTTACATTCAGATCCCATTCATACCTCGTTGATCGATACGATCTCGCCTGCAGCTTTCTTAACTTTTTTAAGTTTCTTCAGGAAATACCAAAAACGACTTTTTGCAATTACTTCGTTGGGTGCAAATATGCGCATGCGGTAAAGTTGGGGAATTTGATCCTTTGGACTGGGGAGCTTTCTGCCAACCACCTGATATTCGTGAAACTGTGTCGAATAAATTGTTGAGAGGGTGAGATAATTCTGGTTCGCATGCATATCTACTTATATTTATTAGTATCACTTGTTGACTCCAGTTGACTTTGCTTTTTCAATTACATCCATCCATCCATCATAAAACTCATTCCTATCAACTAAATCATTTTCATTAATCGTCACAGTTGAGTCTCATGCCAATTCCTTCATGTCTACTTACTCTACCCATGATGGTCGAATAGGCGTCAGAAAGAACAGGAAGATCTACCGCTCGCCCACTAGACGATTTATTATACCAATCACGTGCAGACAAAAAGAATGTTGACGTTGATTTAAATCACGTGAAATATTCGACGATCACACAAGTATTTGAAGCAAAGAAGGTATGATTAAGGAAAGAGGTCCATGTTGTTGGGTGTAGACAAATAAAGAACACAAAACTCCATGTTTGTTGGGGAAAGTTGACTTATAAAGGGAGCTTTTGCGCATTCCACATTGTGATCGGGATTATCATCGCTTATAATAATAACAAAGTGAGCAGGTATTGTTTTGTAACTGTTTCTGTTCCAACTTTGCAATCTGGATCTTAGCTCAACATTTTCTTTGTTGAATTTTCTGTTGCTACCGCCGTGAAGAATTTTCTCGAAAACTATGCTGAAATCCATGGATTACCAAGTCCTGGTAGAAATGTCAATCGCATTACTCAATCACTTACACTTTTGCCAGCCGAAACAAGTTATAAATCCGTCTATCGTGATTTTATTGCAGGTCTTGAAAACGATAGCACGTTGAAATTGTTAAAATATGATGCGTTTCGCAAGTCATGGCACCAATTAACACCTTATATTCAAATTATGAGTCCACGAACGGATTTATGTGACACGTGCCAACATTTTCGGAACGGCTTACAGTATAATGCTCGTAAGGAAGAAGAAGCGAAA